AGGGAGGGAGAAGGGCTGAAGATTAAGTTAATTACCAATGGCCAATAATGCAATCAACTGTGTCTACATGATGAAGCCTTCATAAAAACCCCTAAACAAAGGGGTTCAGAGAGCTTCCAGGGAGATGAATACATGCAGGTGCTGGGAAGGCGGTGCACCTGGAAGCTCTGCACCCCTGTCCCACACCATGCCCCATGCATCTCTTCCATCTGGCTGGTCCTGAGTTGTATCCCCTATAATAAATGAGTAACAGTAAGTAAAATGTTTATCAGAGTTTTGCAAGCTGTTCTAGCAAACTATGGAAACTTAGGAGGGGTTCATGGGAACCTTAGTTTATGGAAGCAGAGGGAGTCTTGTGGGCTGAGTCCTTTTACTGTGGGGTCTGTAATAACCCCAAGCAGGTGGTACAAGAAGTGAATGAACTGCTGGACACCCCACCACTGCCTGGAGAATCAGAGAATTGGAGAAGAGCTATTGAAAAAGTCAGGGTGCATTTGCTTTCAGAAAGAAAACAAACCCTTTTACTTAATGTCAGAAGTGGCATGACTAAAAACAGCTCAACGATACACAAATACTACTTTTGTCATCAGACAATGAATGCCCTGCCCCCATTTTTTCCCTTAGGGGAAAGGAGTGGTTTACCTGTAAAAGAGCATCCTGCCAACAGGTCACACAGAAGGTGTCCTCAGTTACGCTGTAGTGCCAAACCCCACGTAAAACAGAATTCCTTCACTTCACAGTCGACACCACCTTGAGGATCTAGTGTGGCTAAACACACCTCACACTTACAGGAGAAAACAGCCTCTAGTCATCTATCTTCATTGCTGGAAACTCAACCTCCTCTGGACTAAAAGCCTCACTCACCTCTCTTACCCAGATTAGTTGGAAAGAGGCAACACCACTTCCACAGCAACGACAGCAACACAAACTCATGAAATGCATATTGTAAGGTGCATACTGTACTCGGCCCAGAACCTTACTGTTTACCTCTGTGAATCTTACTCACAGCCCTGAGCGGCAGATACAGTTAGGAAGCCCATCTCACAGAGAGACTGAGGCCCAGCCTGAAGAAGTAACTTGTGCACAGCCAATGCTACCTCAAAAATCCACCTAACCTACAACAGAGAAGTAAGTCATGGCACGACGACCCTATTCCCAACACTACTCCAAACCTATACAAGCTACTTTTGTAATGAACTGCCATCCACTTTCCCACAACTCTCTGATCTTTACAAAACTTACACCGCAGGAACCCACATTTAGACATAAAACTACCATATTTTTCAGACTGTAAGATGCATTCCCCCCTCCAAATTTGGGAGGGAAATGGGGATAAATTCGAATGTAGCTTACCTGGCTTGCTGTGGGCAGGGGTGGGGCGGTGGGGGGTGGAGCGGGGTCACAGGTTATTAAATATTTTACCACATTTTTTGCTTCAAATATTTTTTTCTTATTTTCCTCCTCTAAAACTTAGGTGCATCTTATGGTCCAGTGCATCTTATAGTCCTAAAAATACAGTATACTGTCTGTCACCCAGATGTCAGCAAAAAACAGAATTCACGAGCAGCTGTTGCCCTAGGTGAAGCCTGTCTCAAGTGTGCATATAGGACTACACAGTCTGCTGATTCAAATCCCAGTTCTGCAACTTAGTGTGTGGCCTTGAGCCTGTGACCGAGTACCCAGGAGCTCCTTCATCCATAGACTGGGGACATTACCTTCCTTAGGGGCTTATCTGGAGACTAAGCACTCAGCACAGTAAGATAAGGCCCACTTAGTGACTTAATTTGTAGCCCAGGCCCTTCATGTCGTGGCCCCACCTCCATGTGCTCTCAGTGCAGGGCTCCCACAGCTCTGAGGACAAAACTACCACCAGGAATAGAGGACTCCAGCGAGCAGCTCTTGCCCTGGATGAGAGAAGACACTGCTGTTCTGAGAACAAGCTCACAGCGGCACTCCAGCCCCAGCCACCCTGCCTCTACAGGAATTGATCAGACAAGTAAACCTAGGAACATGACCTTTTTTTGTTTCGGAAAAACCAGCCATTCGAAAACAGGGTTCAAATGAAAACACATGCTGAAATTTGAAAACCCTACACCTAAAATGGGAAAATTTTGCTGTATTAAGTTATACCTCAAGAAATTAGACCAGGACAAAAACCCTTAACCCAAAACCCTGCTGCCACAACTGCTAGATGCTGAGGGTGGTAAGATGCACACGTGCTCCCTGTACAGGGCAGCACCCCAGACCCTCACAAAGGAACAAGACAAGTAAAGAGGAGCACAGGGAAGACACACACAAGCACATGCAACACTCCACCCCCTCTCTCCTGCCCAAGTAAGCAAGCCCAAGGAATATGAAGGATCCAGACACCCTCGGAAAGGCCCTCTGCCCCTCAATGCCCCAACTGTATGTGAGGACACTGTACCCAGCAGGGACAAGTCCTATGGTCAGAGGACCACCTGCTCCATTCCCTACCAGGACCAAGACAGGGGTAGAACACCTCAGAGACTCTGTACAAGAATGGCCCTGAAGTCTGGACACAGGCCCAGGGGAGCACCTTTAGAGGGAGTACCTGTGTGCCTCCCCACCATCCAAGTGAGAGCTCTGAGGCACTAACAGAGGCTGCAGAAGCCACCACAGGGGAAGGTCCCAGCTGAGGCAGCAATACCAAGCACCCTGTCTCTCTCCAATCTCCTGGGACAATCTGGAGACCAGCAAGGATCCCCTGGGCCACAAGAAGGGGAGCTGAGACCCACTGGCCACTGACCTACTGCTGAGACCCATAGTACCTCTGTGGTACTGTCCAGCTTCAGCATGGTGCTGCCACCCCTGGGGTAAGCTGGAGCCTCCTGGTTGACCCCTGGGGACAGCAGGAAGTTGAGTGGACACTGCCAGAGCCCAGGCACGCCTCCAGGAGGGAGAGATAAGTCTGCATGTCAAAGACCAGACAGGACTCAGGGAACACAAAAGCTCACTACTAATCTGTGGGACTCAATACTACTTCTAAGCCTCAAGGGAACTTAATTGAAGCCCAGAGATGAGCTTAACTGGCTTCAAGGACTCCATCACCACTGCCCACCTCCAGAGTACTAATGCACAGGGCTGCTGGCATTTTCTGCAAATAGACTGTCTCCTCACCACATAGGCATCTCCTTTCATCATCCCTTTCCACAGGCTCCCAACAGAGGCCAGTGACACCTGCCCTGGGACTGTGTCCCCAGCATTGGTTCCCCTGCCTCCACACTCCCTGGCCTGGCCTCCCTAAGCAGGTTCTTGGAAGACTGCCCCCAAAGGGTGAAGCATCTCCTCTGCATCTCCCCCAGGAACCCTGATGAAAAAACACGGAGGAGCTTTTGCCTATGCACATGGGCTGGCTCTGCTCTCAATGGTGACCGGTCACCAGGACTCTCCGATCTCGATTCCATGACAGCCTTGGGTGACCCAGGCTTCTGAGAACTAGGCCTGTGGGGGTCACAGGGTTGAATCCTGCTGAGCTGCATTTGCTGAAATGTCGCTCAGCTCCCAGCGGGGCAGCACACCTGAGTGCATTCCCAGAGGTCCCTGATACCAGGTGGTTTACAGAACAGCCAGGTATAAACAAGGGACTCATTAAGGGAGCAGTGGCATCCACAGGCCTCACAGGGAGATTTTCCTCCTGAAAGACAGCAGAGCTGCCTGCAGCCAGTCTAGCTATACTTGTGGAAAAGCACCCAGCGATGGCCAAGCCACCTCTGAGCTGGGAAAGGTCACCATGGCCTCCTGGTGGTGCCTCTGAGGAGGAACAGAAGCAGGTTGCTAGGAAGGCTTTTTTCTTAAATTTTAATTATTAGGCTTAACCCCCCCCCCCCCCCCGCAAACTATGGTCTGAATGTGTCCCCCCAAATTCACATGTTGAAATCCTGACCCCAAAGGAGATGGTGTCAGGAGGTGGGGCCTCTGGGAGGTGATTATGTCCTGGGGGTGAAGCCCCTAAGAGTGGAATTAGTGCCCTTATAAAGGGAACCCCCTACAGAGCTCTCAGCCTTCCTCCATGTGAGGATGCAGCAAGAAGTCTGTGACTGGGAAGAGAGGCTAGCACCCTAATCTTGGACTTCCAGGCTCCATAACCATGAGCAATAAATTTCTGTTGTTTATAAGCTACCCAGTCTGTGGTACTTTGCTATAGCAGCCCAAATGGACTAATAGTTACCAATAATAGGGTCCAGCACAAATAACACCCCTTTTTTGATGACCTGGTAATCTACACCAAATCTTTTATTACAGAAATCATAAGCATGTGTTTCTGTAACAAAAAGGTATCACACTCAAGCACACCACATGACATTTTAGGTGAACTGTTCAAATTGCTGTCCACCTTGTTCAAGACATCCAGGTACCCTACCAACCACACTCAATGGCGTTACTTCTGCTGGACCCTGTATGTTCACTGTAAATGTTCAGAGAATGTACTTGGAGGAAAATAAAACAAAAACACCTTATAATCCTTCCACTCAGATTACCCATGAACAGATTTAATGTATACAGTAACTCCTTTTTTCTATAATATACACATAACTTGCTTTTTCATTCAACAATAACAAAAACTCCCCTCCCCCACCCCAGCTCATCAAAGAGCACATTCAGGAGGTGCGCCATAACTTTATCTAGTCCATCGCCTACTGTTGGACACTTAGGAAATTTCCAGATCTGTGCCCCTAGTCACAGGCCAGTGACTAACCCTTTTGGACCATCCACAGATTCTAGCCCTGTCATGGCATGTCCTCACAGACTTGGACTGCACACACTTTCAGGTGATCCCTGGAGAGGCCACACCCACCTGCCTTCAGCGTGCCCATTTTCCAGCCCCCATCTTCCATGGGAGAGGTGAATGCAACCCTTTGCCCACTAGTGCTCTAGCATGGGCATCTCTGCTACCAGTGATCCGTCACCCATGTGTTAGTGATTCTACTTCCTCTTTTGTAAACTGTGCATCCCTCCTTTTGCCACTTCTGGGATCCTACCTTGTTTTTGAAGTACACCTCGATGGGCATGATGAAGCCAGCGTAACCCGACTCCTCCACTTTGTACGGGGGCTCCTTACACACTAAAAAGAAAGGGAAAATGCATCTGTCAGCTGCCTGCCCAATCAAAGGCCCAGGCACCAGCAGCAGTAGGCCCTCCACCCTCTGCACCTCCTCTCGGGCTCACTGGCCTTGCAGGAGCATGGCTTTTCAGCTCTCCCTGTGAGTGCTGAACCCCATAACCAATTCCACACCAAAGGGGTCACAGGGAATCAAAGGAACAGAGCAGGAGAAAGGTGACCCCAACACACAATGGTGGGAGAGTGGGAAAGGCCATGAAGCTAGCTAATGCAGAGCAGCCAGTGCTGGCCACAGGTCTCACAAGTTCAACCAACTCAGGGCAGTGAGTGTGCAATGGGTCAAATGCGGAAACCCAGTGGGCCCCTGGTCTCCTGGGCAGGGCAGTCCAGGTTACAGCATCCACCTCCTTCAACTGCTCACTCACACACGTAAACTGACACCAGGAGATGGAGATGGCCTGGTCTCAGCTGGGACTCTCGCCTGGGTCCATTTTAGCACCTACCAAAAGTGTTCCCAATGTCTGAGTGACATGAATAGACTCATTAACCCCAGAAATTTTGTTAAAAACAGTTGAAACTAAGAACAGCAAAGCATAAGCAATCTCGCCCTCCGGAGTACACTGTTAATGTTTTGACACCTATACTGTCATTACACAAGAAATGTGAAAATATTGTTCTCCCACTTTTAAGAAAAAAATCAGAACAGTGCAGATCAAATCACCCCTGTCCTCCACCCCTCCATCTCCAGAGGCTACCATTATTTGGGAGCCAGGAAAAACCCTGCCAATTGTTAAAATATTTATGTACATATATCTATATTGGTCAGATAATTCTTAAATTGGCCAGAAACTGCTGAAAAACAATACATGGAATATAGTAAAACATGACTCTTTTAATTTAAAATACTGTAAGACTTCTCTTTAAAAAACATCTTTTCAGCTCTTAAATATCCCATCTAATATCCTGTATCTCAAATACCTCATATGTCTCATTTAACCAAAGAAAACTGGCAGGCAGGGTGGCTTTGAGCCATCAGTGGCCCTCCAGAGCAGGGCTGGCCAGACAGCTTTGTATGGACCCCAGTCTGCAGACCTCAGGGGAAAAACGAGGGGCTGTGGCTCAGGCTTGGGGAATCCCTTCTGGCCCCAGGGATGGGAGCTGTAGTGGGTGACCTAGGCCCTGAGTCTCTATTCTAGCCAGTCCCATTCTGCTCCTTGGAAATCCTCTGTGAATGCTGGATGGGCACCTCAGATACAGCCTGCCCCAAACCATCTAACTCATCCCCTCATAACCTGTACCTCCCCCAGCATCCCACAGCTCAGAAACCAGGCTCTCTACCACACCCCCAAGGACTGAGGGTTCCCAGACTCTTCCCTCTCCCTCAGGCCACCTATTGCCAAGCACTATCAGGTCTATCTCCAAACTGCACTGGAATGCACCCCACTGCCTAGCACCCTGTGCCTCCTGCGTGCCTCACTAGCCGTCCTGCCTCGGGCTTACTCCTAAACATCATCTGCATGGGCAGCAGGATGATTACTCTGAACTGCCAACAGGACTGTCCCCTGATGGCTCCCCACGGCCCTCAGGACCAACTCTGAGCCCCTCCAGGTGGCCTGCAGGGGGCTTTATCACCTACAGCTCCATCTCTTGCCAGCCTGACCCGAGGTTCTAAGATCCAGCTCCACTGAACCTCTCAGATCACAAATCACTTCTCCTCCAGGACCCCAGTTTTGAGTCCCAATCCCCATTTCCAGGTCATGGTTCCCCCCCACAAGCCTCCAGCACCCTGTGTCACTCAACCACAGGACTTCCAAGCTTACTGTGGTCATCTTTCTCAATCTCTATATCAGCTCCGTCTCACTTGCTGTCACATCTCCAGGGCCTGGACCAGGGCCACATCTTTCAAAAACATTCAAAAAGAATCTGTCAAATATGTTAAAAGGGCCACATGCCATACCTCCCTCAGGTTCGCCATCGAAGTAAGGAGATGGACCAGGAGCAGGAAGTGACCTGGACTGGAGCGCCAAGTCGTGACTTGCCTCTCTCTGAACCTCTGGACCCTGTTGGAGCAGACTGAGGGAGCAAGTGGGGTCTCTCCAGCTGCATGAGCTGCCTGCATAGTGCTCTGCCCAAGCCCACCAACTGTGAATACCCTGTAGCCCTGCCTTCTATGCCCAAGTCCAGCACGGAGCTGGGCACCTGGCAGGCACCCAAATACTTGTTAAATTAATCTGAATCCAGGATGGAAAGTGGAAGTGGAGCACACAGGAAGGGTGGCCTGTCTTCACTGCACAAACCCCCACAGCAGAGGGACATATATGGGCAGAGGCAAAGGAAGGGCCTGAAGATCTGCTCCCAACTCCACCCTCCTGACCTTGCTCTCCTCACCCACCCCCAATCTAACTCCCATCCACCATCAAGACCCGAGTCAGGACCCATTTCCTAACAAGGTCAGACGTGGCTTCCCTTGGTCTGACTTCCAGGTCACTTACTTCTGCTGAGGGCAGTTATCTTTCCCAGAGTACATGTCACACTTGATCTCCGTGTCCCTCCCAGACTAAAAACCCTCTGAAGGAAGAGATCCTGCTTTGTGTCTCTCAATCTCCCTTCTTCAAAGGCCTGTCACATGACAGGCATTCCGAGGCTAAAAAATGCCTATCCTTTCAGAGATGAAGAAGAAAGACACTAAGCAGATGCCCAGGGAAACCAAAGTGAAGAAAATATGATAGGAAATAAAACCAGGAGAGTGAAGAGGGGAGGAAGGTGATATGAGCCATAGAGAAATTTCTGAAAGGCAAAAACTGAATGAGAGCTTGCTGGGCAAGAAAACAGGAAACGGAAGCTTCAGCCCAGAACATGCCATGGTACACTGTAGGGCAGGCAAGCAAGAGCTCGAAATGCTAGGGGTGTGGCACCTACAGAGTCCAGAGCAGGCAGGAAAGAAGCTGGAAGAAAGGAAGAGAGGGAGTGACGGCTAGTGGTGGGCAAGAAGCTCGTTTATTTGTGGGGTGATAAAAATGTTCTGGAATGAGAGAGTGATGATGGTTGCACAACTTTATGAATACATTAAAAGCACTGAATTGTACACATTAAAAGGGTAAATTTTATCACATATGACTTTTATCTTAGTCAAGCAGCTATTATAAAAAAAGCCAAACCGACGGTACTTGAATGGTAGCCTTGGGGTTCATCCCACTACCTACTGCCACCCCAGGCTTAAGCAGTTTCAAGCTTCCCTCTGAGGACATCTGGGTGATTTCATGTCTCAGGAGAAGAGAACCGTCTGGGGGAAGCTAAAGCCTATGGTATGAAAACTGGACCCAGAGTAAAGCCCTCCTCATTTAGGAAATTGGAAGTCCCATCTCCCCAAACAGAAGCCTGCTGGGCAGCAGAACCCATCCTGCCCGAAACAGTGCTCAATAAGAGTTCCCACCTGCAGGAGCCCAAGGAGACGGGAATAATTTAAAAACCAAAAGAAAAGCTGGGAAAAGAAAAAAACAAAAACAAGAAAGAAACTAGAGTCACTATCCTTAGGTCCAAGATATGCCCCCAAATAAAAATAAGATAATTTTAAAAAAGAAAAGAGGAGAATAAGACAGGGCTCTTAGTACAAATGTAGTACTTACAATTTTTTAATTCAGTCCAAAGAGTAGAGCAAAAAGACATTTAAAAAAAGGAGACATGACCTAGCTGGCGCAGCTCAGTGGATTCAGCGCGGGCTGCGAACCAAAGTGTCGCAGGTTTGATTCCCAGTCAGGGTACATGCCTGGGTTGCAGGCCATGACCCCCAGCAACTGCACATTGATGTTTCTCTCTCTCTCTCTCTCCCTCCCTCCCTTCCCTCTCTAAAAATAAATAAATAAAATCTTAAAAAAAATGAGACATGAAGAAACAATGAAGCAGATTAAACAAATGTTAACAGCAGCTAATATTTATAAAGCAACTACTACGTGTCAGGCACTATTCTCAGCACTGGATTCATATTAATTCATTTAACCCTTACAACAACCTTGAGGCAGATACAATTGTTTCCATTTAACAGATAAAAGATTTATCTGATAGAGAAGTTAAGTAACAAACAAATAAATAAATGGAAAGAAACTGTCAAAGAAGTAGATGAAAACTTTCTGGAACTAAATGAAAGATACCACAATGGAAAGATCCCTAAGACCCCAAAGCTGGGAAGCTCAGGTGGTTAGAGCACTGTCTCGATGGGCCAAGGATGCTGTTTGAGCCCTGGTCAGGGCACACACAAGAATCAACCAATGAATGCACAAATAAGTGGAACAACAAATCGATCTTGCTCTCCCTCAATAATTAAAAAAAAACAACAACACACAACAACCCAGAAACAGTATCCTAAAAAAGATCTTAAATGTTTCTAGAGAAAAAAACAGGTCATCTACCAAAAACAACCCAAATGCATCAGACTTTTCTGAAGACCATGAAGCAAATACTTTCAAAGCTCTAAATAATAGTAATTATTTAGTAATTCCAATAGTAATTCTCAAAGAGGAAGAGTATACTCAACCAAACTATCACTTCAGTGTGAGAACAGAATAATGGCACTTTCAAATATACTAGGAGTCAAAGAGGTCATTTCTCACACACTTTTCTTGGGAAATTTCCTAATTAATTAATCTCTTGGGACATTACTTAAAAAATTACTCCAGGAAAACAAGAAAATAAAATAAACCAAAACATAGAGTAACAAATAAATCCCCCAGGAAAACAGCAAAGGAACATCCCAGGGGTGGGGCTGAAGAGATGGCCTTGAGAGGAGCCAGTCCAGATAAGAGGAAGGAAGACAGAACTAAAACGAAGTGTCCAGGGGGGAGGGGGTGAATCCATCAATTAAGTGAAATGATTGAGGATGGAAAAAAGTGAAGGTATAATGAAGACAATACAATGGAAGAAAAGGAAGAAACAAAGGGGTATTCACAAAGTCAGGGCCCAAGCATGAAGCAAAGTAAACGGGGCTGAATTTGAACCAAGAATGATAAAAAAGGAACCCATCTGACCTTGACATGACCTTGAGTTTTCTCCTTTGAGTGGCTCAAAGTTCACAGAGAACATGAACGAAATCCTGGCATCCTGACCTGGCATCCTGACCGGCACAACAATGAGCAGTCTATGAAGTCATTACTGCTTACTAGTTTCCAACTTTCAGTCAATTTCTGACCCAGGAGCAAAAGTCTTGGTTTTAGTCAACAACTTTAACAACGTCAAGGACAGGGTGCGCAAGGAAACACTCAAGGAATGGCGGGGGGGATGCTCGGTCCTCTTCCTAAGCCAAAAGTCAGAAGATGTGACAAAAGCTGACAGCACCCACTGCGTCCTCCCAGCACCAAGGAGAGAGCAGCACACTATGGCAAGACACGGATCAGATGAACAAGTAACATAAATATGTTCAGATGGTGCTAAAGAGAAAAATAAAACAGAAAAAAACCTAGAAGCATGTGCTGTTTAGGTGTGTTGAGCAAAGAAACTGTAGTTTAGACCTATCCGCCAGAGAACTTCCTAAAAAAGGTGAGAGGGAGTGTTTGTGGGAGATTTGAAAGGTAAGCAGGTTTGCTCATTATTCAAAGTCACAAAGACAACCACTGCAAAATGAATCACTTAACTATATATGAAACATTTAGAGCAGAAGATGGCTAAGAAGAGTTAGGAGTTTAGTATAAAGTCTAGCCTTTCATGCTGATAAGTTAATATTTTTTAAATTTGAAAATCAAGAAGCAAGCCAATTCACTCCCACTACTTACGGTGTTCAGGAAGAACATGGAGAAAGGACTAGAAAGACTGCCCATGGGGCAGCGTGACCAGTGATGACACAGGAATTGGAAACTTCCCACCTGGCATGTTTCTACTGGGTTTGTTGTATCTATTTGATTTTAAAGATACTATTAAAGAACATGACCAATAATTTCAGAGCCTAGAGTCCTGTAAGAAACTCACTTATTCTTTAACCTGACCCATTTTTCATTGACAACTGGCAAGGGTATAATCCAATAGAGTTTTGTTTGATACAATGAACAACTAGTCAGGCATTTACTATTTCACACATTTTGTGCAGACTTGGCAATAAGCACCATTCAACTACTAATTTAAACTCTGCCCATGATATGACACTTTAAAAAAGTGGGCCTCACTCATCATCCATTTTCTTGGAACTTGGAGGTCAGAGATTTAGCCATGTCCATGTGACCATAAGTGGGTTGCCGGGCCTCTCTGAACCTCAGTTTCCACATCTGCCTGGCAGGAATTTTGGGACGTACCAGTTGCAGAGCTGTCATGCGCACAGCACACAGACTAGCGAGTGCTGGACAAACGCAGACTGCTATTAATATCACGTCTAGAGGCTGCTTGCCTACTGACCCTGTGGGGATGAAGATGAGATAAACAGTTTAAAGGTGAATGGAAATTATCATCCTGGGTCCACTGGGAGACAAAGGTACAGAACAGGTAAGGGAGAGGGTAAAAGAGCTGAAGTGGAAGCTGCTAGGGGAAAAAGGCGGGACCAGCTCACGAGAAACAGGCAACCAGTTTCTACTCTGCTATTAGAGTGTAACAGCAGCCACAGAAGACTCCCAAGTGAAAGGGCGTGGCCAGGTACCGACAGAAACAGGCAGTACTACCAGACCCCCAGGCAGCTTGCTGGGCCCCTCCTTGAGCCTGCTTCCACATCCATAAAATAGGGTAGCAGTAGAACTGCTAGTAGTAGTAGAACTACTACTACTGCTGCTGCTATTATTATCATTGAGACATCTACTGTTTTACAGACATCTAGTGTTGTCTGTAACATGTCTGCTCTCCTCCAAGAGGCTCAGAGAGGAAGGAGGATAGAAGACTCAGGAGAGAAGAAATGAGAAAAAGGAACATCTGAAAGCTGATGGAAGAAACCAGAAGAAAAAGAAATGGCTACCATGCCACTACAAATCTCAAGTTGCCTTCCCTTGAGAAGCAGAAGTTTCTGCTTCTGTAACTAAGTCATCTCCCCTCTAGGTCGTCCGTCAGCCACTTGCTAGCCCAGGCCTGGGCCTGGGCCCCCAGTTGGTCCCAGGATGTTCTCCTGCTTCTGTCTGAGGCTGTCCACACTGGCTCCCAGCTCAGCCCTGGGCCCCCAAGCCCTGCACTGCAGACAGAGTGGTCAGCAACACAGCAGTGGCTCCCCCACCCTGAAGCACTTTGCTAGCAAAAAGTCCTTTGTGTCTTTATCAACACATCTATTCAAGAAATATTTATTGGACCCCTGTGACATACCAGGCTTCACACGAGGACTCAGTGGTGAGAAAGGCAGACGCAGCCCCCACAGAGCTCACAACACAGCCACCAACTATGTTCCCAAATTCCCCATCAAATTCCCCAGGAAGTGTTCTCTGACCCCCACAAACTGGGTGAATCCCCTTTCTCTGCCCCATCAGACTGCCAGGTCCCTGGAAAGCAGAATCTTTGTGGAAAATGTGAACGAAGCATTTGTGCTCATCAGGTATTAGTCTGACAGGTGACACAGAAAAAGAAGGCATAAGAAACAAGACATCGTGAAATGAGCACCTTTAATGCTTTTTTACCTAAATACCATGAATTCTTAAGATGGCATCTCGTCAAACGTAGGCCCAATAAGCAGTTTTCTGATTACTTATCAAGTGGACATAAATCGACCTTTTCCACCTGCTGGCCACTGACTATGCTTTCTCTGGAGGCTTCTCAGAGCTTGACTCTAAATAATGACCCAAGACACAGTCATTAACTCCTTTGGGTTTCCCCACTATGAACTCGACAGCTAAAAGAGAAGCAGAAGGGAGGGAGGGGAACCTTTACAGGGTCAAAGGGCAGAGTGCTGGCCGGGCAACTTCTCCTTGGCATGCCAAGGGCTGCAAGCCAGAACCTCAGTGTGAGCACCAGCCCACCGGGAGGGGGTAAGGTAGGGGGGAGCAGGGGCCACTCACCACGCTTGGGCTTGGGGAAGCTGTCATGCAGCCGGAAGACCACCTTCTCCACGAAGTGCTGGATTTCACATTGCTCGGGGCCGCGGACAAACACCATCCAATCATGTGTGAACCCCTCCGTGGTGGGCTTTTTGCGCAGCTGGGCCCGGTGTCCCAGCTCTAACTTGACCTGGACAGTACACTGGTGGGAGAAAGAAGCGGGCACAGGGTCAATGCAAAGCCCAGAGCAGGAGACTGCTAACTGTCCTTGAGAACCAGGTATCATGTGCCTGCTTTACTCATCTTCTCTCCCCAGCAAGCCCAGGCTGGGCTCCACGGCTCCTCTCCACCCACCCCCTCAACCTCTCCATTCCTGCCTCAGGGCCCTCTGCCTCTGGTGCTCTGCCCCTAGGCCTTCCCATGGAAGGCTCTTTCCTATCACTGAAGTCTCAGCTGGACTGTCAGCCCCTCAGGGAAGCCTTCCCTGACCACCTAATATGAAATCCCCACCACCACCCCTGTCACTCTTGGTCACATCATGCCTTAGCATTTTTCACTACCAGAACTCATCTTGCTAATGGTTTGTTCACTCTAGTCTAATGTCAGCTCCTTGGAGGTGGCTCCTTATCTGGAGGTGGCATCCCCACCAAGGTCTCCCAAAACATAGTGGTGCAACCCAAAGTGGTGCGATTACCTCCTTCTATAGATGAGGAACCAAGGCTCCAAGACTGCACTGCCAAGCAGCATGCACGAGGGGGACCAGCTGGTAGGGGGCAGGGGGCCCAGACAATGGCCCAGGTGTGCATCACCCAAGGGCCTGCTCCTGTAGCCATTCTGCCAGCTTGCCCCCCTAGTCAAGCCTCTCACGCTCCTTGATTAAAGCATTTTTATTCTCCCTCGTTCAACAGAATGCCTCCTGGAGAACAGAGATCAGCGGAGTCATCTGAGTCATCTGCACAAATGGAGGCTCAGTTTTAAAAGCAGAATGGTGAGCACGGAAGGGCAAGCTTGAAGCCACCTGCAGCCCCGGTAGCAGACTCCCTTCGTTAAGCTGGTGTCTGACGCTCTGCGCTGAAACATAAGGCAGGTCATGCAAGTTCCACTCCACTGGACACAAAGCCACAAAACTTCGAAGCACTGGCAACATCTTGGCGGGGGAGGGGGAGTCAAATCACCACCAGGGAACCTACTGTAAACAGTTATCTCCTTGTAAGAGCCTCCCCAGCCTCCCCGTAGATACAGCTCAACACCAAGTATCAAATGCAGGAATGATACAAAGAAAGCAGAGGCTGAGTGGATACTTGTTCCTAAGTGCTGAGATAACCAGGAGCAAGTCATGGGTGGCATGGATGCCACACTTCCCCAAACAAAGCTCCCCTGTGACGGGCTTCCCAGCTCTCCCTTGACAGAATCACCCTCCTAGGTCCTGACCAGAAATCTCCCACTTTTCACTTTCCACCCCCTTTCTCACCCATCCCACTGATGACGTGTGTCCCTATGGCCACAGTCCCTCTGTATGTGCCTCCTCTCTGCAATTCAGCAACCCATGGGGTTCCCACCACCACCGTCCTCCCTCCCTCTTCACCCTCCTCTTGCTGCTCAGTCACTGCAGTGAAAGGAGGGCAGACAGATCCTATCTCTGGCTGTTTCACAGCTTTCCTCAGCTCACCACACCCTCAGAATAAAGTTCAAACGCCTCAGCACACCGCCCGTCTTCCACCTGTGTCTCCTCAAATCTGAGATGCTCATAATTTTTCTCTTTTTAACCCTTCAGAGATCAGTGTATCTTGCAGTCCATGTATAAGAACTGCAAGATTCTAGGTGTGTGTGTGTGTGCGCGCACACACACACACACACACACACACAGCTGTTTCTAAGTCTCTGGTATGCCCCAAAGGCTCAGCACTGAGGAAATACAGAAATGTCCACCAACTCCTTTCCAGCTTAGTCAGACACCAGCATCCCAACACACACAGAGAACATCCACTCCTATCTGCCTCTGCTCCTTGTAGCCCACAGCCTAGGCACCCTACTCATTTCCCTGCTGTCCCTTAACCCACAGCTTCAGGGCTACTTTCCCCAAAGCCCTTTCCAATTGCTATGTGTATACGAGCATCTCCATGGGGGTGCCCACTTCATCTTTGTTCCTGGGCTGCCCACTGCTATCTCACTTATCCTTTTAACCTCTATCTTGGAACCCTGGTATGTGAAGCATCAACTATACTTAATGGATCAAACTAGAGGACCTGCCTAGACCAGTGAGTTATAAGTGGTGCTTTCCAAAAGGAAGAGACAGTAAGGACAGTGACAGGGACAAGATGGTCCTGATGCATATATGGAAGAGCCAGCAGAGGCTCTGGGTACTTAGCGAGCACCTGTAAAAACAGGGCAGGAGTTCCCCTGGCACACAACAGTCCCTGTGGGGCTCCTTGGGAAAAGAGCAAGGACTTGCTGGGACCTGGTCCACTGGAGAGAGGGAGGGCAGGGGGATGGAGCATTTACACTCAACACAACAGAAATGACAGCCAAGTATGTGTAGGTAATGGACGTGAGGGCACAGTATGTGAGTAAAAGGTCCTGGGCAACCTGTGTTGAAGGCAGAAAAGGACAACCAAGTCCACATGAAGGCAACCAGAGGGCGTGGCTGGAAAAGGAGGTTAACTCATGCCTGAAATGGGAGAACTCACAGGACCTCAGTGTAAATGAAGGAGAAGAGGTGAGGGGGCTCAAATAACTCTGAGACACAGGTAGCGCCAGGAAGTTGCTGGGATGGTGGAGGGGGTACTGGAGATAGTCAAATGCAGATACCCCACCAAAAGCTAGAGACAAGGGACTAAAAGTCTGGATAAACACATAATGCTCAAATCAACCACAAGCATCTGTCTGCAGATTGCTGCATATGGACGACGTTCAACATAAACAAACCCAAGCAGTATTTACATTATCTGGAAAGGCTGTAATCACCATATACACATCCCTGTGGGTAAGGAACTCAGCCTTTCTCTCCAACCTGGTTCACAATGAAAAGTCGGAAGACAATTCCTGCATTGCTGGGAGGCTCACAGATGGAAAACTAATACACACTGGCAAACGACTTTTTGTTCTTTGGAGTTAACTCCTGTGTAACGAGATATCTCCTCAGATTCTGTTATTCACCAACCCGCTGCCTTCCCAGCATTTCTGATTATGTGGGGTTCGTACCCAGGGCACATGAGCGGCAAAGCAGTTACTGTGATAGAACAGGGACCACGGTTCCCTCGGTGAGGAGATAATGGAAGCACCAAAAATACACTCCACAGGCCAAAGCAAACAAACAGGAAGGTTCTGAAGCAACAGTGGGTCAATCTCTTCAGCTGGCAGGCCATACCCAAAGCTTGCTGGGTGGCATCTGTGCCCTGGGGGCTGGCGCCAACTCAGCCTCCACACCCCCAGGTTCAAGGTGCCAATGACTGCATAGGATGGTGCATTCAGGAGAGGATCACTCTCCCAAATGCTGAAATCTTCTAAAAAATAAAGATAGTGGAGTTACACAGATTCTGGGCTACTAAAGTAGAACTCACTGATTCGATAAGACATTTAAGCTACATGGAGCTGGAGGCGAGCAAGCTGAGCCCTGGCCAACTACTCTGACTTGTCATGGTAATTTATTAGCATGGCTAAGCCAATGCTACCTCTGAGAGTTCCATGCACTCCCTCTCCTTCCTTACTCCACCTGGACTCCTTCCCTGTCCATTAGAACCAAAGAATTGAAGCAAATCAGCTTTCTCTAGGAAGGATGCCTGCCTAAAGGGGTTAGTAAATGTTGGTTAGGTTAGCCTGCCTCAGAATGAAAAATCTCACTGTTTGGCTGCAGAGAGGCCCTTTGTGAGACCTTCAGAGTAGGTGGCTGAAGTGGCTCTGGGACCGAGCCTTGGTTACTGCCATGTCCCAACATCTTGGGCATCACTTTGCCACCCACTCTCTCAACAAAAGGGAATATTCCATGCCTGTCTTAAAAAGGGTTAACTATTTTACTTCTAGGACATCATCCCAAAGACCTGGGGGTTGGGAGGGAGCAGCACGAGGGCTCTGAGGGCCATCTGGGAACAGTTCACTTTGGGCAGAGGGCTTCAGTTGGGCACTGTCCTCTCTCCAGGCCCACTGTACCCCATGAATCCTGCCCTCAGCCTGGGCCCCAGAAGGCAGGTCTTTAACAAGTTTATCTGTAAGATTTCTACTAATATTCTGGTGGGAATTCTCTGCAACAGATGCTCTTTCCTCTGGGAATTCACACTTTACCAAGTGGCATAATTATGCCTGGAGTCTGGCTACTGCATCTAATTCCCTCAGATGTGACAATTCTGTCCCCTCTCAGGGGGTGAAAGTACCCAAGAGCATTTTCCCTCATCAGCTAGGATTGATTTTGTCAAGTCCAACTGCACCCAGCAGATTGCTGGCAACATGGTCCACACATACAGAAATGGGGAAAAGTACTGGTCCTGCAAAGCAATGGCAACACAGGACCAATAAAATATTCTTCATAGCACTCTCTCTCTAGACCCAGTGTGGGGCTCCCAGGAGCAGCAGCTACTGAATGAGAATATAAGACAGGAAATGAAGGGTGCCCCTCAGTGAAAACCCTCTCAAGGAGGGCAGCCCGCCCAGAGATGGGGACAGAAGCAAACTACATGAGGCCCTAGCCTTCTAACTGCTGGCACACAGGGGCTGGCAGCCAGCACTTGCACCCCTCTTGTGGCTCTGTCCAGCCTAGTCCCTTTCACCCAGAGCACAAGGCTAATAACAAAGGGATGAGAAGGAGCTCAATGAATGCTCTCTGGAAACTCCAGGAATAAGTGTGCAGGCCATGTGGGTATGCAAATACACCTACAATCCTTAGTTTCCAGGTTCCTAAGAAGAAAGACCCTCACCAGTCTGCCAGGAAGGCCTGGGACGGGATATATATTATGTATGCACGAGAAGTCCGCAGGTGTGTGGACAGCACGCTGCACAACCCTGAAAAAGGCAACTGTGGCCAGGCCAGGTGGGCAGGTTACAAGGGGCAGATACTTATTTTTATTTAACCAACAGTTGACAGAGTTTGTGCAAAACTGCATTACATGAACATAAAGGGGAACAAGACTTGGGTCCCTGCCCTCAAGTACTTTACAACATACTACCGTAACTTCAGGACAAAAACCTGGCGTGCCGACTTTCCAAGTGATAGTTTCAGAGCTGGATGGCGGAGAATCCGGTCACCCTCACATCAATGCTTTGAACAATTCCAAGCATCTCTCCGCAAGGTCTCCGGGAAAGAGCAGACCTACCTAAGAATGCCACCAGGCCTTGCCTCCTCTCGGGGCCTTCCTGGGCTTTTTCACATCTGTAAAATGGGCCAGTGCCATTAGAAACAAACCTCCCCTTCCAGAACAACAGAGTATGGTCACAAGTTGTTCTCAAATTCAAACTCAGGAGAACCTTTTGAGGAATCAGCATCAATTCAACTGTATGATTCTATGGGTTGCCCACCAACCTCAGGTGCCAGTCCCAGTGCTTCTGTGAAGGGAGGACATCCTGGCCCTTTGAAGAACAGAACTACCCAGACACTGACACTTCTAGCTCCCCAGGCAACCCATGTCCCCAGACAGGTGGCCCCTCCCTGTCCTCCCAGCATCTGCTCAGCCTTTAACTATGTCCATTCCTTCCCCACCATCCTTGGACATAAATCACATGCCTAATGAGCAAGACCTGCCTCTGACCCTGCAAAAGTACATGACTCTCTTCTCCCTAAAACATACAAATCCCACAGACACTGGATGTGTTAAGTACAGACACAGGGTCAAGACAGAGGGAGCCAAACTTTCCTACCCATGGGGAAAGATTTTGATGCCAAGAAGTTGGGAGACCAGAGCAAAATGCAGACCTATCTTTCTTAACTGGGCTGAAAGTTCTAGAGAACACAAGAAAGTAAAGAGAAGCAGACTCCTAAAGCTGGCAGGCCCCTAGAGGAAAGTCCTGTTGTTCCCATGAGACTGAGGCACTTACAAGTTTGGGGCATTCTGGGGGAGAAAAGGAAAGATTTTGGGGGAGATTCTGCTGGTTTCAAAGACTTTTTCCCAGTCATCAGAAGTCATTCTAGAACACTGACCACCAACTTGCCTACTTAGGTACTCTCCCAAATTTGCATGAAAACACAGCCAGGATAGAGACTGAGTCTATGGGGTGACACATACTTTCCTTTGGGACTAGTTTCACTTGCCAATACTTCTGCAAGGCTCTAGACCAGCACTGTCCAAAGGACCTTTCTGCCATATCTCCATGCTGCCCAATGAAGAGGATGACAGGTCAGCAGTAGTAGTTACTGGGCTCTTCAAATGTGGCTGGTGTGACCGAGGTTCTGCCTTTCTCATTTTGGTTTGTTTATACTTAAAGAGCAGCAGGCACTGGTGGCTATAGGATTTCAAATGTGTTCACCAGTCCACCCTGTCACAGACCAAGAATGGCACCTATTCTCACAATTCTACTTACATAAATGACAACCGCCCAGGGGGAGTAGACACACTTGGACCTAAAATATCTTCCCGAAGGACCAGCAGGTGGGCTGAGAGATGGAGTGATATTCTACGCTTACGTGGTGCCCAACAAGCCCTTCCCAGAGGTGGGCTTTGTTGAAAGTGGACACTGAAGGTGTATTTTGTTTTGTTTTTTGATTCAATATGAATTGGAGGCAAAAAGCTGTCCCTTCAAGGGAAATGAATTCACACCACTCTGTAGAACTCCACAATTAAACTGCCATAAACTCTTCCTTCCCACTGAAGAGAAAGGTAGTAACACCAAAGCCACAAGGGAAATCATGGTGAGAGGGAGCCACAAACACAAGCCTCAATGATCCTGTGCCACCACAGGCAGAGAGGATGGGCAAGGGAGAGGTCTCCTGCCTACACCCCTAAAACCTCAGAGACACAGCACCTTACCAGACAGAGCCGCCTCAGTGGCGCCAGCACCTAGGGACGCCCCAACCTGCCCTCACTAATGCAGAGATTTCAGCTGCCACCCCCACAGCCCTACACCACCTTCCTTGGCCTTGTGCCCCTTGAAGTCGGGGACAGCAGGGAAGAATGAAGAAATAAATGATCCTATGATGGGGGCCACAGTGGCCTTGGGCTTGAGGAGGGGAAGGGGACTGGGTACTGGAGAAAAGTAAGCGCAGAGCTGGCGAAAGGGGGACCAGGGGCCAAAAAGGTCTCGGGTTTACCGGAACTGACAGGATGGGCTCTATATCCAGTAGGGAGAGGGGCCATGGGGAGAGTTTACTGAGGTCAGGGAACCACCAGGATTTGGAGCAAGGCTCTAGGTGGAGGCGCTCAGATGTGCTGAAAGGAGAGGCTCCTGGCTGAAAGTCACAGCATAGGGCTGGGGAACAGTGGAATAAAGTGCAGCACCCTGAAAGGAGAGAGGCACTGGGGGTCTGGGGAGACTGCAGGTCAGTGAAAGGAGTCAGCTGAAGTTGGAAGAACCAGACTGGTGAGACAGATCAGATTTGGGGAGAGGGGAGCATAAACCAGGGTCCCACAGTCAAAGGAGGCCCCATCTGAAGGGAGTGAGGCATCTGGTGACTGAAGAGCATGGGGGCTCCAGTTCAGAACAGAAAACTGCCCCTGAGCCTGGACTAAGAGGGTCTGAGGGTAAGAGACAGCCCCAAAGGCACTGGGGGGTCTCAGGGAGAGTGACCAGGACCTGAAACCAGAGGGAACTGAGGCAGGAGACTTAAGTCAAAGGCGACTGAGGAAGCAACCCCAGGTTCAAAATGGAGAGAACCTCAACACAGGCCTGGGTCCTTGTGGGAAGGAAGAGATCCAGGACCTGGCCAGAGTTAGAGGGGAAACACACTCAGGCTGAAGCAGAGGCAGGACCAGAGGGAAGGGAGGGCTCAGGCCTAAATGAAGGGGAGAGGTAAGAAGACTTAGGGTTCAAGGAAGGAGGACTGCAAACCAAGGTCCCTGGGATTCTGGAGAGACTCAAACCCCAGCCATGGTTTAGATAGAAAAGAGGCAGTAGGTTGGGGACTCAGGGCCTAGAGTCCAGAGAGGAAAAAGACACAGACCACCCCTGGATCCAAAGGAGGGGGGGGGGTGGTACAGGCTGAATCTGAGGAATTCGCAGGGGTGCCTGTGAGGACTCTGAGCTGGGATGGGGTCCCAGGGAATGTCCCAAAGGGCTCTAGATCGGAGTAGGATCCTAAAAGGCGCCCCAAAGGGTTCTGGGCCGCCAAAAGGAGCTCCGGGCAGGGTTCCCAAGGAGCGTCCCAAAGGATTTTTGGCCGGACTAGGGTCACAAGGGGCATCCCTGGGGCTCTGGGCTGGGCCCGCCCGGGATCCCCAGCAGGGTCCCAGGCGCTCCAGCCAGGCCCGGGTCGCGGATGGGGGAGGGGTTCCCCTGCCCCACATAAAGGCCGGGGAAGCGGCGGGCGCGCACAAAGCGGGACTGGCGGGCGCCAAGCGGGGGCGGGGAGACCGGGACCCAGGAGGGCCGGGCGGCGGGGCGGAGGGAGGGAGGGGGCCGGGCGGACGACGCGGGCTGCGCTGCGGCGGCGCGGCCGCTCCTCACCTGATTGTCCATGGCTGCCGCCCAGCCCCGCCCCCGGGCCCCGCGTCGCTCGCCGCCGCCGCTGCCGCCGCTCAGCTCCTCCCCGCTGCCCTCATTGTCTGTCAGGCGCCGCCGCCGCCGTTCCCGGCTGCCCGCCCGCCCGCCAGCGCCGCGGAACCGGAAACCACAGCCAGCCCGGGTCGCTCTCGGACCCCAGGCCCCCGCCGCCGACTTAGGCCCGCCGCTCAGACTGACAGCAGCCTGGACCAATCAACAGCGCTGAAGACCGCTTGTGGGACCGGTCTTCCGGCCTGGCGCGGACCGACAGGGCGGCTCTTGGGGGAACGAAGTCCTTAGCCAATGGGATCCCTGGACCGGAGGGGCGGGGGGAGGGAGGGAGGGAGGCGCGAGGCAAACCCTGCGGAGGGAGCTCGAGGTGTGCGCCGCACGTGGAGGGGGGCGGGGGCGGAACGGGCGAACTACGCGTGCGCACTGTGGACCTCAGAGGCCGCTGCCTCGTTCCCGGAGCCTCCCTATCCGAACCTACGCAGGCTGGAGCTGAGGTAGCGGATTCCACGTCTGGGAAGCGAGCCCTAGGGACGCTTTTATTTCCTGTTCTCGTGCAGCTGTGTGATGGAATGAGCTTTGAAACTGCAGGTTAATTTTCCTGTCCTTAATCTGCACTGCAGCAAGCCTGGTCAATTGCCCCTGCCCCCCACCCCAACACACACACACACACACACACACACACACACACACCCCAAGTTCAGTTTGCACAGAAGTAAACTGAGGACAATCATAGTCTGGCGTGATGCTAGTTGGTGCTAATTTGAAGTCGAGCTGCATTAAAATAATTGGGGGGGGGGTCTCATTTTAACCCGAAATTTATAATGCTAAACCCTCCAGAAAACAATTTTGAGTTTACCTATGATCCTGTAATTCCACAGCAACTTGAAAACTATATTTAGGTGCTCTGGAATAGTGGCTTCAGTTGGTTGGAACTTTGTCCTGTCCTGTACACCAAAAGGTTACGGGTTCCATCACTGGTGAGGGCACATACCTAGTTTGAGGGTTCCATCCCCACCACCATGGGTGTGTGTACTGGAGACAAGTGATGGATGTTTCTCACATGATGCTTCCTTCTCTCCCGTCCTATCTCACAACCATGCTTCTGTCTGTGCCTTTCTCTCCCCCTTCCTCTGTCTCTAAAATCAATTAAAAATTAAAAAATAGCTCTGGCTGGTGTGGCTCAGTGGATTGAGTGCTGGCCTGAGAACCAAAAGGTTGCCTGTTCAATTCCCAGTCAGGGCACGTGCCTGGGTTGCAGACCAGTGCCCCAGTTGGGGGGCTGTGAGAGACAACTGATTGATGTTTCTCTCCCTCTCTTTATCCCTTCCTTCCCCTCTTTCTAAAAATAAGTAAATAAAATCTGTTAAAAATTTAAAAAGCATTTACAAACAAACATATTTAGATCGGATTTAGACACACCCCTCCATCTTTTTCAAGATCTTGTAAGCCATTTGTCTCTTGGACATTAGGACTCCTGCCTGCAATTTGGAGAGCCTTGTGCAGTTATTTAAATCAAAAATCAGTTTTGGATTTTTTTGTGTGGGTTTTTTCCCCTCCACTTCGCATTTAAGTGACAGTCAAGTATTCATTAGGTGGTGTGGCTGGTACTTTGTGTTGAAGAACAGCACCGGAAAATCAGTAACTGGATTGTCAATAAGTCCAGACAAAAACTTGGAAGAGCAGATTGCTATCATAACAACTTTGTACTCTACGGCAGGATGTGCTGGGGGCAGGTGGAATGGAGATCATGCTGAGAAAAAAGTAGCTATGTCTGTGTTGATACAACACGGACAATATTTCAAAATCCTTTAACTGGATGTAAGTAGATCAGTGGTCCTATGTGGTCCTTGAAACAGCAGGCTCTGCATTATCCGGGAACTTGATTAGAAATGGCAGTTCTAGTCTCCCTATATTTATGGAATCAAAAATTCTGTGCGTGTGGTAGCATCCAGAGGTTTGGTTTAACCAATTCTATAGATGATTCTGAGACTTACTGAACTTTCAAAACCACTGCCCCAATTGGAGACAAAAAGGGGGGAGGGGAGCAAGTTATCTCTTTAGGAAGCTTGCAGTGAAGAACCTGTAGGCTATAATTGTTGCAAAGAGCCACTTTTTTTTAAGTTCAGATGGAAATTCTAATGTGCAGACTGGGTTAAGAATCACTAAACTTCAGTTAATGACACTTTTCATTGTTACTGTATCTAGTTTTATGGTTATTTTGGATCTGTGACAAATGACTTCTTGAAGTGACACAATGTTTCTAAATACATCAATGTGTACAAAGAAACACATAAAGCAAATAGTAATTTGAGCATATGGTAGAATACACAATTGATACATGTTATCTTGATGTTACAAATAATGAAACTGGCACACAGAAGAAGATGTAAGTGGAGCCAAGACTCACAGCTAGAAAGTAACATTTTGAACACAGGGAGTATACCTTCCTGTCTAGATTGCTCTGCTACTACCTTAGGTCTCTATTGCCCTCTAGTGGTCGGGTTTATTAGCACCCAGAGGGAGGACTTTGCATTCACCTTGTAGGTGGTGCAGTCCTGAAGATTTTTTTTGGAATCCTCTTTCTGGCCTCCAGCACATTAACTGTTCCTCCCAGATTCTTGCCAGCCACAGATGTACTCAGCACAGTTTCATGCTAGACACAAATATACATATAGCCACTAGTGGCAATATTGAATACAACCAAGATGGAGCACAGCCCAGTGGCCAGCTGGAGACCTAGCGCAGATTAACTTCAACTCAGAGCAAACCTTGACAGTCACACTGAGGCATTGGGCTTTTATCCCATAGGCTATGGGGAGCTGTGAATGGTTTTTGGAGCCAACTCAAACTATGTACAAGGTATTTTCCCAGAAAAAGGGCAGTATACTGGACACTGCAAATTTTCTCTCTCTGAGTATCATTCCCCCTTTATCCTGGCAATAGTTCTGATCTGGGGGCTCCTCCCAGGACAACTTTGAGTCTGTAAGTCACCTTCGTATGAACTTTTTAATGGCAGCCCTTCTGGGAGAATGCCAACTTATGACAGGGCACAAGGTTTCAGGGGTTCAGCCCCCACTTACCCATCAGAGTGAGGCTCTCACCCCCTCACCACCCACCCCTAACCCCCATCTCCCACCACAAGGAATCACATGACCAGGTCTGGCCAATCAAAAGACTGTATCCCTCTGGCACCTGGATTTGTGGAAGGAGGTGGGGTGGGGGGGGGTGGAGACAAGACCTAAGACTGGTAGAGAGTGACTCCGGGAGCTTATTAAATCTTAATTAAGGTATAAATCACATAAAATAAAACTAACCATTAACCATATTGAAGTGTACAATTCAGTGACATTTAGAACATTCACACTGTTGTACAGCCTCCACCTATATCTAGTTCCAAAACATACTCTTCACCCCAAAAGGAAATCCTATACCATTTAGCAGTCACTCCCCATTCCCTCTTCTCAGTCCCTGACAACCACTAATCAGCTTTCTGACTATGAATCTGTCTATTTCTGGACATATGAATGGAATCATACCATGGATGGCCTTTTGTGTCTGACTTCTCTCACTGAGCATCATCACATTTGCAAGGCTCATTCATGTTGTAGTGAGTGTCAGTGTCCCACCCCTTCTTATAGCAGAATACTATTCTGTTGGATGATGCACCACATTGGTTTACCTGCTCTTCCATTGTGGCCTTTATATTGTGTTCCACTCTTTGGGTCTTATCAGTAGAGTTTCTATGAACATTTCTGTACAAGTATTTTTCTGATTAGCTGTTTTCAACTCTAGGTATATACTTAGGAGTGAAATTTCTGGATCATATCAGGAGGTGTGGCCCATGGCAAGTTGCTTGCCTTCTTTGAGCCAATTCCATAAAATGAGAATATTCCTCTCTGTCTGGAGGAGTCGGGGGTGGGGGGAGTATTAGGTCCAATGAGCATAGAGCACATGGCAGCCACTCCATAAATGTGAATGGCCCTTCCCTTTTAATGTCCCAATCTCTCTGATGAGCCCAATGGACTTGCTTCTGCTCCATTTGGAGTGAGGCACTGGTAGGGCCCAGACAACATGCCCTGACATCCATCTCTTGCAGAGAATATCAAATTGATCCATGTGTACTGAAACCCACCCAGGGTCCCCAGGTTAAGAACCTCTTGCTCTGCACTCTCCTTTGGTTACTAAGCTCTGACAACAGCTTTCTTTCAGTTGCTCCAGTGCATTCCCATCCAAGGAGTCTCACACCTGCCGTTTCCTCTGCCCAAAATGATCTTTCCCAGCTCTTGTTATGGTTGGTTTGCTCTCGTCATCGAGGTCTCACCTGGAAAGTGCAATCCCCATTCACCTTCCATTTAGAAGGGCTGCTCCACCACCTCGTGATTCTCTAGAACATCACCATGCTCTGCCTAAAAGGCAGACTCCTCAGTGCCTGGCATTGCCTTGATGGTGTGTCTTTTTGTCTAATTTGTGTCTCCTCATCAGGGCAGGGGCTTTGTATGTCTTTGTTGTCTTGTATCCCCAGGGGCTGCTATAAGACACATAGTAGACGATATATATTTGCTGAAGAGATAAGTGAGTGAATGAATGAGTAGGTGGGATGATTGGAAGAATGACAGAATGGTTCAAATGGATAAATAGATAACTAGATGACTAAATGTGGATGGATGGATAATGGATAAATAATTGGATAAATGGATGGGTGGAAGGATGATTGAATAATTTTGATGGGTAAATGAATAAAATGGATGACTAAACATAAATGAATGGATTAATGGAGGATGAAGTATAAATAACAGTTAAATAGATAAATGGAAGGATAATAGGTGAGGGATGGATGGATGAATGGATGTTTCAATGAATGATTCAATGGATGGATGGATGAATAAATTAATGGATGAGTGGGTAGACAGATGTTGGCCAGACTCCATGCTAAGCACTTTACATACATTATATTGTTTTATCCACACAAATTCCATAAAGGAAGGAATATTTCCCTTTTACAGGCAAGGTGTTTGAGCTTTATAGGTAGTAAAAAATCACTTCCCCAAGATTATACAACTGGGAAATGGTGGACCAGGATTCAAACTTAGGTCTCCTGACTCCAAGCCCTGTGCTCTTAACCATAATGAAAAACATCCTCCCCCCCTCCCCACATTTCTCCTTATCCCTCCCCTGTACTGGCCGCCCCAGCTCCGTTCTGATGCTCGCATGCCCAACAGTGTCCACATTGCCCATCCAGGTGTCTGTGTCACTCCATTGTCAGCTGGTGAGATGGCCACAGAAGTCCACACATGGCCTGCAGGGTCTCTGCATGCATGCATGAGGGTAGAATTGTGAGAACACATGTCCATTCTCAGGGATGGCCCCTAAGTACCAGGGATATTGCATGGCCAAAGACAGGTCCAAAGAGTCTGGTAGTGACCACCACTATCAGTCAGGTGCATGTGAACCAAGCCCCAGCCTGAGGTCATTCCCAGTTGATGCCACATAATCACAGGAGCTGGTGATCCGGCCCACCAGGCTGTGTGACGACAGGGAAGCAGTGAACACAGGGAAAACAGGAGCAGGTCATGGAGGGGAGCTGTGCCCGGCAGCCCTGCAGGGTCATCAGACTGCTGCACAGAGAAGTCACGAAGTCCATCCCCTGCCTTGGGGTGGAGCCATGCAGGACAAGGAGGACGGGGAAGAGGAGCTGGTGGAAAGAACTGTGTCTCTCGGACTCCTGATCCGAGCCTCTCTCCTTGAGACACAGGCGAGTTGGCAGGTGGTTGTGGAGTCAAGAAACAGGTAGACTTCAGCAGTTCTTTCGGTCACCACTGATTTCCACATAGGGCAACCCCACAGGCCAAGTGTCCCGAGGCCAGTAGCGGACTTTGAGGGTTTGGTCTGGCATCTCATACCTGGCGTCCACCAAGGCCATGGTGACCATGCCGTAAGGGAAGGTGATGCTGATGAGCACATGCCTGTGGATGCAAGGAGAGGGCAGTGAGGGCACAGGATGCTTCTGCAGCCAGCTGGGTGTCCCTAGCCCCACCTGAGTTCTCTTCTTACTTCTCGTGAATCTTGACCATCCAAAGGAACCTTCTGGAACTGACTTCCCGATTACAGCCAGTTGCCCCTCAAACATGTAATGCCCAGTATCTGTGCCTTCCCTCTATGTCCCCAGGCTGCTGCTCCAAACTCTGATATCTGAAGTTTTCTGGTTTTGGGGCCCCAGAGCACAGAGTAGGTGCTTACCAGATGCTGTGCAAGTAGAAGAAATTAATCTTTTGCCAAAAACTGCAAAGGAAGCGGTCACTGATCCAGCTGGTCAATGCAAAAGCCCACAAAACCACAGAGATCTCAATGAGATGTCGAAGCTCCTTATTGTTGGTCCTAGGAAGGGCAGACAGGAGACAAGGGCCTGACTCAGAGAGTGGAGCTTGCAGGGGCTGCTGAGAAACTCCTCCAACAAGGAGATGAGGTTGGGAAGAGGGGAGGATCCAGGGTGCCAGGGGGAGGGGCCTCACTGAGCCTATCGCTAACGTTTGCAGAATACTTACAGGATGCCAGGTACAGTTCTACAAGTCCTTCAAGTAGAATCTCGGTCTTCACAGCAATATTAATATTCCCATTTTGTAGGTGAGAAACCTGAGACCCATAAGATTACATCCCAAAGCCCCCACCCAAGGTTACACAGCTAATAAGGGGCAGAGCTGGGATTTGAGCCAGGGTTGTCAGATTGTAGACCTCTTAACCAACAAGCCCATCTGTGTTTGTGTGTTTGGGTGTGTGGGTGTATGTACCTGTGAGTCACTGCTTGAAAGTCCTTGTCTGTGTGGCTATGAGAATGTGTGTGTGTGGGGGGGAGGGTGGTTCTCTGACAGCCATGTCTTGGGACGGCTCAGGATCACATCTTTAATCTACATTTCCCCGATGGCAGAACTAACCCAGAGTCGCTTAGGGAACAGCGTACTGGAGATCGCAGAAGGCAGTAACTCCTTTATGCTTAAAAGCAGAGGCCCTGCCCACTGGCCTAAAATGAGACAGTTTGAACAACAAAGCATAGTGAGTAAGAACCAGTAAAATCTGAACCAAGTCTGTGGTCTAGTTAGCAGTTAATTTCCCCTTTTGGAGGCCGTACTATGGTCACACAAGATGCTGCTGCTGTGAGGAGCGGGTGCCTGGGGGGAGCTGGGGGACGAGCACAGGAACTCTCTGCTGTTTTTGCAACTCGCTAGGAGTCTGTAATTGCTTCAAAATAAAAAGTTAAAAATGTAGCACAGTGACCCAAATGGGTTAAAACACTTCAGAAATGTAATGCTTAGAAACAAAACCAACCTCATGGGTCCTGACTAGCAATGGCCAAGGCACCAAATCATCACCCTGATAAATAACGGGAAAGAATCCATGGTCTCTCCTGTTCAGACTCTATCTCAAGGTTGATAAGTGAAAGTCTCGGATGGAAGAACTCCAGCTCATCCATGCAGAGGGAATAATAGAGTCTGCCAGGTCCCCTTTTGCACCCCCTAACGAGATCACGGATGGAGGCAGGGGCCTCAGTGGCTGCCAGAGTCGTTAGGTGACAGGTCAGTGGAAAACTTCTCTGATAAAGATACAGGTGACATCATTCAAGCCCCCTGATCAACCTTAACAGCACCCACTGCGGAACAACCCCTCTCTCTGCAGTCCTAAAGGGATGGGACAAGAAGCACCCAGCACCACATGTGAAATATCATGGCCTAAAAAAATTTAAACCTAAATCTGGATCAAACTATTAATTTGCAGGAAATAAAAAAATTAAGGAAACACATTGACAGATGCCAAGCGTCAGTCAAATCCAGAATGTGGGACATGCTGCAGGACGAATGACCGAGTGTGCATTGCCAGCAGATGTGAGCAAAGGGAGAGGGAGGGACTGTTATGAAATAGAGACCCAAGGGGTAGGTTTGCATCCCGATTTAAATAAGACCAGGTGTAAGAAGGCATCTTTGAGAAGCTGAGCAAATGTCTATGAGAACGCAGTATTAGATACTGTTTTAAGGAGGTGTCATTAACTTTGAAGAAGTGTGTGTGCCACATCTTCCATTTGTTCCTCTGGATTCTTCCCTACCCATCTGCACTCTGCCCTGTGACCTGGAGGAAGGGCCGTGCGGGCCCAATCCAGAGTCTCCCTTGTCGTTGGGCTTCCAGTTGGTTCTGCCAGTGGGGAGCCCCAACAGGAAACCAGAGGGTACGGGAGGGTGCTGTTAGATTTGTTTTCAGAGCTCCCTCTCTACAGGGTTGGCTCAGGCAGCAATCGGAGGTGACGGCTCTTGCCGAGGAGGCCTCACTGGCTCTCTACTCCCAGACCCTTGCAATCACTCCCTCCCATCACCTCTCACCCCAGGTCTCCTGAGGATCAGGGAATCGCCCTCTTATTACCACAGGAGTTTTAAATGACCCGTAGTGCTTTTCCTACACCCTGCCCTCTCCTTTGTAAATAACCCTTTGATTCAGCTCTCTCCAAATGCCCACTTTTGAGAGTCCCCTCTCTATCCTACTAAGACCTAGTATGGGTTAAAAAAAATTCTTTATTGGGAGAGTGAAATCCTGGAAAATTAATGGGTGCCACAATATGAAATCTGAGGGGAAATCAATAAGGCAGGCTGGTAAAATGTCGATGGTTATCAGGGCTGGTGAGTGGGCACATGGAGGTTTACGGTGCGACCCTCTCTGCTTGTGTTCATGTTGAGGGTTTCATAATAACAGACAAGCTCTGCAGTCAGACAACCTTAGGGTCAAATTCCGGCCCTGCCCCTTGTTTGTGGATGATATTGAGCACGGAGTTAACAAGAACTCTGTGCCTGGTGAGTATGGGGGGGGCGGGTGAGGGGTGAGAGGGCGGTCCTGCCCGGAGGATGGAGCCCCGCCCCCAACCCCAGGGTCTGCAGCCGCCACCCACTTCTTATACTCCTGGAACACGATGTAGAGGACGTGCACGGCGATGCTGTTGAGGGCATACGCGTTGACTGTAGGCCTCAGGAAGGACAGGAAGGTACTGACCATGGTGGTGATGAAGACGAGGCAGACAAACTGGGACCTGGGGGGAGAAGGCTCCTTTGTGGGCGTGGTTGATGAGGGAGGGTTCTTGGGGAGGGGGTTAGGCAGGGTCACATGGAGATCTAGTGGCAGAGGTGGGTGAGAAAAGGGAAGGAGTCCCAAGGAGCCCAAATGAGCTCAGAGAAAAGTCTTGAAGCTTCCAGGTGGGCTCAACAGAGGATCTCAAGCCCAGATAAGTCAGTGGAGGGCGCCAGGGCCCAGGTGAGGTCAGGTAAGAAATTGAGGGAGGGCCTAGGTGGGATTAAGGAAGAAAATGCAGGGGTCCCAGAAGCTACCACTTGAGGGTCTTAGAAGGCCCAGAAGAGTTGAATAAGGTCAGGAGAGAATTTCAGAGGGGTTGAAGTTCAAGAGGGGGGCCTAGAAGGGCCATATAAAATATTTCAGGGAGTCCAGTTGATAGGCTCAGAGGATAGGTTCCTGGGGCCCAGGTAAGCGTAAGCATGAGGTCCCAGGGCCCCCAGGTGAGCTCAGACAGGGTCTAGAGAAGGTCCCATGCTATCTGGGGAGGAATCCTAGGAATTCCAAGTACTATATTGAGAAAAGAGAACCCTAGGAGCCCAGTTAAGTCAAGCAGGGTCAGGAGAAAGTCCTGGTGTAGTCAAGGGAGGGATTTCAAGGACCACAAGAGGGTTCAGGGAGGGGAACCAGGAGCCCAGGGGGTTGTAACAGGGTCACCAGAGGGCCAGGCCCCACCCCACCTGTTTTCCCTTAGGAAGGTGGGAAAGTAGCAGCGGGGCATCCATATACTGTAGCCACTGGCCAGCAGCCACAGAATAGAGATCTCATCTAGCAGTTGGCCCAGGAAGCTGAGTGTCATGTGGAAGTACATGGAGAACAGGCCTGGAGCAAGAGACAAAGGCAGGTGGTCAAGGAGGTGTCCCTTCCCATTCCCAGTGCCCCACTGTCCAGACCCTCACCTACCTATGACCATGAAGAGGACACAGATGCCATAAGTGTAGCGGGAGCGTTTCTGGGCATAAGGGTGCATCAGGAACATCATGAGAGGCCCAAAGATGAAGAAGGTGACATTGCTGAACTGGAGATGAGGAGGACATGGGGAGGGGGTGTCAGACAGGGGAGGCAGAGGAGGGCTGCCCTTATATCCAAACCCTCAGTCATTAGCCAGTTGGGTCACCTGTCTCCTTTGAGGCAATGCATCAGCCCAGAGTTTGTCAATCTTTTCAGCTGATCTTTATAGTCATCCATAACTCCATCCATTATCCTCAGAGTTCATTCATTCATTCATTCATTTATTCATTCATTCAATGAGCTAGCCACACAGCTACTCAATTAAAGACTACATCTCCCAGCCTTCCTTGCAATACACCATGCCCTTGTGACATAGTGTAGCCAATGGGGTAGGAATGCAGATAAGTCTATTAAGTCTATTAAGAACACGAAGTTCTTAATAAGCAGCTTAAAGCTTGTGTTCCACTTCCTATGGACCAAAATGCAGCTGAACCTGTATCTTAAGTTATGTGTACCGCCTTTCGTCTTGCTACATAAACCCAAATTATGTTCAAGCATCAGGAGGACATGGCTTTCAGGGAAGCAGGACTTATCCCCAGGGTACGAATCATTCCCATTGGCAATGGCTGGTGGAGGAGGAAATGTGTGACATAAATCTGGCCATGAAACATGATGAAAGGTCTGATGAGGGACTTCTGAGAAAGTCCTCTTTACTAAAATCAGGCCCAATGAAAAGGCCTTTGGAAATTATTGTGATGTTTAAGAGGTGGCAGCTCTTTTACAACCATGAGGAAACTAGGCTAAAAGTGAAGACAGGTACTTGAGAACAGTGTTTCTCAAACTTTTTTGTCTCAAGATCTTCTTACATTCTTAAATAGTATCAAGAACCTCGAAGACCTTTTGTTTGTGTAAGCTGTATCTATCAAGATTGGGTGTATTACAAATTAAATCCAAGAATATTTCAAAGTACAGCATTACACAAGTACACATTCCCTTGGCCGTCAGAGAAACGGTGTCATCACACGTCATCTGGCCACTGAAAGCTTCCATTGTATCCTTGTGAGATAATCAGAGGGAAATTAAGGCAGATAATATCTTCATACTATTATGAAAAAATTTAGACCTCAAGGAATTTCTGAAAGGACCTCAGGGACCCCAGAGATCCCCGGACAAAATTTTAAGAACCATGTCTCTAGGGATATCGGAACAGGAAAATGAAAAGAACCAAGAAGTTTGATGAAAAAAGGTGTGTGGCATATGCATAATGTCACCTATGTTTTCCTGCTGTTGACCCAAAGGGTGCCAGGCCTCACTAGCCTCTGAGTACAATTAAGGTCACAAGAACATTTGCACCAGAATTTCAATGGCTCAAAGTCCCTAACTCTAATACAGAACTTCAATGCTCTCAAAGTCTCCCCCAGGTATGTCAAGGTCATGGTCATGGTAAGTTTCACACATGAGCTCAGAAACAAATATTTTTGTGGTCTTCATGACCTGCCAATTTGAGGTCAGCCAGCCAGCTTGCTCAATTACACTGTTCCCTCCCCCCAAAATCTTCCCCTTGTAAAGGTCTTCTCAGTTGTCCATGTCCCATCTTAGTGAAGGAATTGTGCCCTGTTAACTAGGGTGCTCTGCCATTTTTTCAGAGCCCTGATCTTAAGGATGCTGACTCAAGATTACAGAGCACAGCAGTGGGTGTGGGGAAATCATTCACCGGCTAGCACATGGCCATCTATGAGTCCAGGTCCTGGAAACCTGTCCTGATTCTGGGGAAGCCCAAGACTCTCCTTGGACCGTGGTAGAACCAGCTCAAAGGTCACAATTTGAGGACCCAGACCTAGCAAACTGGTTTCCCAGCCCTTGGTTCCAGCCCATGGTTCCACCCTTCTCCTTGTTTTTCATGCCATGTTCTCCTGTACGTATCAATGGACAAGGTCAAACACATCTCTGGGACAGTCACCGGTTCCCCCGGCTGCCCTAGAACAGAGAGGTACCCCCCTCACACACTTGCCCTGTCTGTATCATGGGGCCCCACCCCCCCAGAGGAGACCCTATCCCAAACCAAGCCAATCAGATTTTCTCTTTTGGGAATTTAAAACTTGAAGCAGATACGGAACCTGGGAGTTACGAGAATTGAGTCACACAGTTGGCAACTCTTTGGTGAGGCCTTTGAATATGGTCGTGATGTTTAAGCTATGGAAGCCATCTTGCCGCCCTGAAGAGATGAGGCTGAGAACAAGGCACCAACCCTCAAGGGCAGCTCTTCCCCTTCAGCTGCATCTTCCAGACCTGCACTCGGCCCCAGCCCTCCCAGGCAACTGGTCTTTCCATTTTTTGGAATAGTTCAGTATTTTTATAATGGATTCTCTCCCTCTCTCTGTTTCTTTGGTTTTGTTTTTTGCTTAAGCCAGCTTTCTACTGCTTGAATCCAACAAAACCATCACCATTAGTCTATGAGCTATGCCTCTTCTGTAGTAAGCAACAGAAAATGATTCTGGTGAACTTGCACTGTAAATATTATGTGATGTGTGTGTCCTTCCTTCCTTCCTTCCTTCCTTCCTACCTTCCTTCCTTCCTTCCTCCCTCCCTCCCTCCCTCCTTTCCTTCCTTTAATATGTGGAGCTCACCAATCAAAGGAAATGCAGAGACAAGAAAAAACAGAAGCCAAAACAGCTCTGACCCTTGAATGAACAATCTTTTCAGGGGACAACTTTGGGCATGAATGGAAACAACTATGCCTAAGCCCAAGATTCAAATTCAATCAATCAGTCAATAAATCAATCACATTCATGACTCCCATAAGTAAAATCCAAGCTCTTAAAACTTGGCTTATAAACTCCCTCCATCACATTCGCCTCTCTCCACCTTTAACTTCAAATCCTGGCAGAAGGGATAACTCAGTTCCTCCAAATGGGCCATACTTGCTCTTACCTCACACCTCCAGGGGTTTGCACGTGCTGTTCGCACTTCTTGGGACGCTTGACTCTCCACTCACCCCCCCCTTGCCAGGCCAACTACTACTTCATCTGTCACCTGGGTTTTACTTTCTTCTAAAGATTTCCCAATCCCCCAAGGCAGGGTTAGGTGGCCTTCCTTTGTGCCCAATGCTGTCCCACTTCCTCACACTTGTCCAGCTGTTCTGGAACTGCCTGGCTCTCCTGCTAAACCTGGCTTTGAGTACGTGGACAGTGTCTTCTCCATTTTCCATTGTAACCTCAGGAACCAGAATATAGTAAGTACTCAATAAATATTTCTTGTTGACCGGATCTCAAAACAACTTCAGGTGGATCCCCCACTGCATGTGTAAAAACACTTGACAGAGGGTCTTATATCTAGAAAGTTCTGGATAGAAGGGACCATGACTGTTACTTTCCCATCTTTTTACCATATACCTTTGCAGATATTGTTTTTAATCCTTGCACACACACACACACACACACATACACACACACACACACACACCAAAGTCCAGCATTCTAGTTCTTGTTTGTCAATGAGAAAATTGAATCTCAGAGAGGTGGAGTGACTTCTCCAAGGTTGCACAGCTCTGGAAGACTCTGAGATTGATTTGTCCCCTGCCTTAGAAGACAGGAAGACTAGACAGGTGGCAGTGATGAATACGGGGCTTCCCTGCTTCAATGAATAGCAAGGGCTGCTGCTATTGTTGTTGGGGAGATAGTAACAGTCTTATTGGTGGTATAGCTGCTTCAAGCTCAGAGGCCAATAGGGCTGAGCCAGGAGTGTGGAAAGGGGGCAGAGCATCAGGCGGAGCCTATGACTAATGGGCGACAACTGACTCGAGTCTCTGATAGCATCAGAGAAGATGCCAGGGTCTCCTCCCTGTTTTCTGGGGCTGCGCCCCCAGGTTTCTCAACTGTTGGCCCCACCCAGACTCGGTGAGGCAGGAAAGGAACCATCCAGAATCATGTCCAGAGTCAGCCCAGCCCTCAGCTCTGGACACAACTGGGCTGGACTCCCTGGGCCTCAGCCCCATTAGGCACCTCATTCATTCATTCACTCACTCACTCAGTCACTCAACAACCACTCCTCCAGTAACTACTGTGTGCTCAAGGACCTTAGCAGTGCCTGAAAACAAAGTCCCTGCCTTCACGATGTATATCCAGTCAGGGTTTGAGGACATTTTGTTCCCCAATTTCCTCCTTTACCTCTGAGCATCATGGCAAGAATTAAAGAACAAAGCAGCCCAGGGCTGGGAGTTTGTCTGTTTTGTTCACTGCTGCAAACATCTTGGTGTCTAGAACAGTGCCTGACATGCAGTAGGTGCTCAGTGAATTTTTGTAAACAGTAACGCATGCCAAGACACATGTGAATAGTGCATGCAGTGCCTGGCACGGGAGCTGGAACAGCTGTGGACAACCGCTCTGTTGTTATTCTAGTGTGTTTGCTCTTTGGTCACCAGTTCCCAGCAGGTTGTCTGGTAAGGAGATGTGGCTGGATACCTTAGGGCTGGAAGAAGGAAAGGAAAGATCAAGGGAGGGAGGGAGGAGAGAGGGAGGAAAAGAAGTAAGAAAGAGGGAAGAAAGACGTGGGAGAAGAAGCGGGGGAGGAAGGGAAGGAAGAGAATGAGGGAGGGAGAGACTGACCTGAATTGACTCCCCACCTCAGCCTCGGGAAGAAGCAGAGGGGAATCCCCTTTCTCATTACCCGCTCACCCTGGGCTGAACCCACAGCCCCCGTGACCACCACCCCCATCCCCACTAGCAGCTCCTCTGAAGATCCACTCTCTCCCTGGAGCCTGCTGATTTATTCTCCCCTCCTTTATGGCCTGTGTCCTCCCCACTGGACTGTGACTTCCTTGAGGAGCAAGAAATACCTGTTTTACCCTCAGCTGCGTCCCCAACACCTATCATGCCTGGTACCAAATAGACACTCAAGAAGCTTGTTGAATCAATCAAATCAATGAACATGGGCAAGACTATTTTGCTTGTTCTCCCCACTGCCAAAGCCCAAACTCCCAACACTCCCGCTGGCTCTATCACCTGTCCAGGGCCTCCGTGTGCATCCACTTAAGAGGTGAGCACAAATGCTGGGGCTGGGCTGAGCAAT